TCCATCTTTTTTTTCAATCGGGAAAGAGGAATTTAAAAAAAAAAAGAAAAAGGAAATATCTTTCTCGTACTATTGAGGACTCATGGTTGCTGTGTACGATGTATGTCCTGATTTTCTTTTTAAAATGGTTAGAAATTTTCCTTGAGATAGCTATGTATTGCAAGAATCCTTTCTAAAATGCTTATTGATTTAATCATAATTTGTATAATATAGCTCATCCGCGACTTTATATATAGTTTTTTTTAAAAAAAAAAAAAAGAGATTCATTGAAACGTGCAGAATAAAACGCGCGAAGAGAACATCCTTTTTTTCCAGTATTCGCAGGTCCCACTATCTAAATTAAAGTAGACAAGACAATCTTTTGGGAGGGTATGGGACCCACCTATCAACATCGTCCAATGAATAGAGCCTGCATTAATGCTTTCATACACTTTTTGTTTTAACGTGTACGTCCTGCATGTTTCACCATATTATGCAAATCAAATATGTCCCAAAAGAGAGAGAAAAAAAAAATAAAAAACTCTCTCTATATATATGTATAGATATATATATGTATATTCTGAAATTCAATTTGAACCAACGAAAAAAGATAAATTATCTTTTAAAAATAAATAAAATTTGAACCAACGAAAAATAAAATCAAACCCAAACTAAATTTTGTCTTTTTTCGTGGTTGGCTTTTAATACATAAGTGCAGAGGTGGGACCAACGTATTCTGATGTGGTGTTAGAATTTAACAAGTCTTATCCACATGTCAGGCTGAAATTATTCTTATAGAGGACAAAGTGATTGTCCGATAGGGTAGGATGTAGACCGCCTTTTTATCGGTTCAAATTTGTGCATCGTCCATTAAAATTTAACAAAAATAAACTCAGACCTGTTTCCAACGGAACACCAAACCTAATCCTACGGCTATAAATGCTTCTGAAAGTAACAGTGGAGTAACATGTTTCGGAGGCTACAAAGCATGAGGTAAAAACAATGTGACGTGGGCTTATTTAAACTTGGGTTGAACTAAAGTTAAAAAATTAATATCAACCAATTAGGTAGTTAATTTATTACTTTTATATGTTTTTTTTGTGGATTTTATATGTCAGTTCAATAACATTAATTGTCTTTTCAGAAAAATTATATTAATTTCTAAAAGTTAATTCAAACATTAAGTGGCCGAGCAATATAAAAAATAACGCTTCTTGTCTTTACGAACAACTACTTAAAAAGCTTCTATACATATACGGTGGATGTGAGATTTGTAACCACTTGAATATCTTCAAACTACAGTTAAAATTAACAATTAAGTTTTTCTATAATTTTTTTTGGGAAATTATTATGAATTGTATGAGCTTTGATTGAAATTGTTTCTATTTTTGAAAAAATTATTCTAAAGTTTCAAAGGAATTTTTTTTTTTTATTCATGTCTTCAAATTCAAGGTGTATGGATGTGATAATATTAAGATAAGTTCTCTCAAGTAGCAACTCTAAATTTTCAAACTCTTAATTTTATAAATAAAAATACAGTTGATTTCTATTGATATAACTGTTTGTTAAAATCTTTTATAAATTTTTAATATCAATCAAACACTTGGCTTCTTGAAGTTCAAACATTCATGAGTTGAGTGAATACTACAGTAAAAAAAAAATGAAGGTAGGGTGAAAAACTTGAGAAAGTAGTAGTTTTAAAAATAGGTTTTAATGAGACCAAATAATTTGGTGAGTAGGAAAAATCTGTTGGACGTTGATGATGTATAAAATGTGGCGAATCGGAATTGGATTGCGCCATATGCTTCTTTATTAGAAGAAAATACAAGTCAGTGGGTTTCACAATTATTGTCCATGCGGTGTCGTTTTTGTCCAACTTGTCAGAAATTTAACCTATCCGATCAGTTTCATGCAAATTGGAACTCTATATCTCGCAATTGCACAATCATTATCTTCTCAAAAAAACAAGCAAAATTTTCCCGCGGCCTTCCGCCACATAAATGCTAGGCGAAGCGGTGGAGTGCTGCACCCTAGATGGCGAGAGTCCAGTAGCCGAAAGCATCACTAGCTTACGCTCTGACCCAAGTAGCATGGGGCACGTGGAATCCCGTGTGAATCAGCAAGGAGAAATATACCAAGCATATGTATGTATACCCGATATGTTAAGAAATTTAATACAAATAATTATACCAAGAGTTACAAATTTATAAAGAATTTGTGATACTCGGTCAAATAAAGTATTTAAAATTTAAGATATTTGCTTGAAACTTAAAGTATATAAATAATTTTGCAATTAAAATCATCTCCCATCATATGTTATAAGATAGTCCTTGTTTCTTAATTGGTATGCTCTGTTAATTTTTGTAGAAAATATATATTTATAATTTAAAAATATTTGATGAGAAGGTACGTTATTTTTTTTTCAAATTTACATGAATATTAGAGACTAGTGAAATTTATCAAAATCAAATAGAAGATTTTTTTTTCTTTTAAAAATATAAACTATGCTCTGAAGTCATTTTTCTTGAAACAAATTAATATTAGTTCATCTAGAAAAATATTTTATTAATTTTCTATAGTGCAAAAATATGAAAAAAGGCTATTATTATTATTATTATTATGTTATTTTTTAAAATAAAAAATGAAATGGCCACTAATTTCTTTATTCAATAATCTATTAATTTATAAAATTTTTCTATTGAATATTGTAATTATAAAATTATATTGATTAAACCATTATTAAATAATTAAAAAATAAAAATTTATTGTTTGAAAAATTATAATAATCATGTATCAAATTAATAAAAATCTATTATTGTTAATGAGGAGAGGGAGAGATGTTATAAAATCATAAAATTTTAGGATGCAATATGTCATTTTCTGTAAAGTTTTAAATGTCATGAAGATAAACACTTAAAACTTAGGGGTAAATTTTATACGGTAAGCCAATAATTAAGGAGTGCGTGTGTTCACATGCAAGGTTAAGCATACTTTAAGTTAGAACTAATTAAATTAATCAAATCAATTCAGTTTGATTTTAAAAATTTTAGTATTTATTTTGAACAATGGTTCAAATACTTTTTGATTTATTTTGAGCAGTATAACATTTTAAAACATTGGCTTAAATCCAAATTAATTCGAAAAATAACTGCAAAATTCGATCGAACTTAAATGAATTTATTTATAATTTATAGTTAAAAAAATTTTTATTTTTGCTTATTTAGAAGCTCGAACTTAAATGAATTTTTTTCTGAGTTCAACTTTGTCTTTGGCTCGTCTCTTTAAAAGTTGAACTTTTTTTTAGCTCGTATGATTTAGATGTTTATATTAACGGATAATTGTAGTGAATGTTAATAGTAGATAGCTAGTGACCAATATGGGCTAACCGATAAATATTTATGTTTAATAAAATTTTTGCGGTGATTACTGTTAAAATATAAAATAACCATTAAAAGTATATTTTATATATATATTTAAAATTTGATGGTAAAAAATATTGTATTATATTTTAATGTATTATATTTTAATGTATTATATAAATAAGAGTATTAATTAATTTTTAAAATCATATCTAATTAGACAATCATTATTTTTAAATAATTATGAACAAAATGATAAAAATTACTAATTTTAAAAATACTGTAATTTTTTTTGAAAGGCAAAATAAATAAGTTTTATTATTAATTATTTTTATGAGTTTAATTATGTCAAAATATAATATAAGCTACTTGCTCATAAAAAAAACTTTAAAACGTTGATCGAATCAATGGCTGATTAAGACTTTTATCATTTCATGAAATGTTAATTAAAAGGTTTACCGAATCCCTACAATCTAGCTATTGTATGAAATTAATGATTAAAATAGCAAGATCAAACTTGGATGCTATGATATCACGTGTCAATATCGACTGTGATACTATTTTAATTATTAACTAATTAATTATTAACTGATACTATTTTATTTTGTTTTCTCAATAAAAAGTTAATTTTTAATCTTGGTTTTATGTTTGATTTTATTGTAACTATTTATTCTCCTGTCACAAAATGATTTGGCGACAAGGTTAGATCTTTAGCGACAAAAAGAAAGCCCTTAGAAATAATTGTTAAGAGTGCGTTGTTTCGTCTCATTTGTTTTTTAGTTACCCCTTTCCTCACTGTCCTGGTTGAGCACATGGCATAGGTAATGCTTATCTATGTAATTCTTTCGATATAATTAAAAAAATATATATTCAATTTAGCACGTGACTAAAAATATTAATATTTTTATAAAAAAATAATATTTTTTGTATACTAGGATAGATACTAACTTTATCCCACCCTCTTCTTTTTTTTTTTTATTAAATTTATTAACAACTTATCCGACATAGCTTGGTTTAATAGTTGAATTGCGTTATATCTCACTTTGGTGATCGCACAATCGAGTTGTGAATTCGGCATCTTAGATATGGCATTTAAAATGTAATCGCTATTTCTTTTCGGGTTAGTCTCTCATCTAACCGTTAAACGGGTGATGGGAGGTAAAAAAAAAAAAAAATTATTAGCAACTTATGTTTATAAATTAAAATGAGACAAAAGACCAACTTGAATTCAAGAGAAAATGATTTTTTTACTCATATTATTCCATAATTTATTTTGATATAGCTTTAACATGTATATATGTATACCTAACTGTTGGCTTTTATAATCAAAACTCATTTTCAAACCTAATTTATACTTTTCCTCCTTTTTTTTTTTTATATTTAACTGATTTTCACATAACTACTTTTTTCGATTTTTTTAATTTGCAAACTTATTTCCATTTTAGAACTAGAATTGTATCAAATAAAATTTTTCTAACATTAGCTATTTTGAAACTCCACTTCCGTTACGTGCCATGTGAACCAATCCTTGATCTTTGGTTTTCTCCATTATTTTTTCATGAAACATGTGGCTGTTGATTTTATTATTTTATTATTATTTTTCAATTACATGGAATGGGATAGCCATGAAATAGTGCCTTACTTGCGTCTATATAAGGCCTTGTCGAGGAAGAGCAAAAACACCAACCAAAACGTTGCCTTCGTTTAGGTTATTGTATCAACCATCTCACTTCGCTTCAAATCAAATGGCTTTAGCAAGGTGGGCAATTCAAATCTCAGTGGTGGTTCTTGGGCTGTTAGCTATGGCTCAACAGTCCATGCCACTGAGTTTGAGAAACCCTATGAATGAAATTAAACAAAAACCCATTGGCATGCAAACATCTCCTGTGGGCGTTGTTTCTCTTACGAGTGCGTCTGAGTGTTTACTCAATAAATCTGGAGTCTTCACTGTCACCTCCACTCAGAATATTGCTGGTAACCCATCCTTTCTTCGTTACCAGCTTCTTTTTAATTCATTCAAAAAGGGTCTGTTTGGTATTATTATAAATAACAAATTGAATTAAAAATTTCTGAAAGCTATATTAATTAGTCTCAAGTGATGACTCTTTAAGTTTTTGACTTAAATCTGCTATTAATGTCGACTGTTAAGTTCTGGAATTTTAGCTTTCAGAAAAAAAAAAAAAAAAAAAAAAAAAAAAAAAAAAAAAAAAAAAAAACCGGGTAACGATTACTGTTCAAAAGTTATACCATTTTTTGATAGACCATTACCGCTTCTTGATTTGTACAGGAAGAATATTTCGCATTGGGAAACAAATTAACGGAAACAGGAAGTTGTATAATGCAAGGGCGGGGAACTCAATGGTAGATTTTCCTGATATATTACATAGTAAAAATCTTTTCATAAATTCTGTGATATTTAAATTCTCCATTATTATTAAATTTGAATTAGGTTAATGTTGGGCACGTAGGTTAATGTGGGCACGACTGTGCAAATCCTTGTGGATATATTTAATGTTAGAGGAATTGTCCATTTCGGCGGTGCAGCATCGGTAAATGAATCTGTGGTCATTGGTGATGTTTCAGTGCCTGATCAAGTTGCTTACACAGCAGCGTGGAGCTGGAGGGTAATTAATTATTGGAGCTGGAGTATTTTTTTTTTTTTTTTTTAATCTCAGTGAATAAGTTATCAACTTCGTTTTTGCAGTACACTTATAATTATTTTCAATGGTTTTTATATAGAATTCTTCGACAGATGAAGTTCAGCCATTCCTTAAAGATATGGTTTATGGGAATTTGAGTTTTGGAGATTTTAATGTTCCCCAAAAGGGAGATAATTTACTAGGACGCATCTTTTATTGGGCATCGACATGGTTCACTGGTCAGCAAACACAGAACAGAGGTTTTTGGCTTCCCGTAAACCCAGATTGGCTAAGGATTGCATCTCAGATCCAGGGTTTGAAGTTGGAAACCCATGTGAATGAAACTGTGTACGTACCTTACAAACCAGTAGTTCAATTCGGATTAAAGGCCGGTACTGCTGATTTGTTCATTGTAAACGAAGCATATGGTGATTTCCTTCACAAAACTTTTAACATTTCAACAATCGACACTACACTTTCTAATTCTGCATATTGCTTTCCTGGTGACGTGTCCTATGCTTCGTTCATAAACTAGTAATTAATTAACTGTATCAGTATTAATAAATCTAATTATATATTTAAGTGAGGATGCAGAACATAGTATTCTCAATAACATTTCCGTACGTTGTGTTTTCGCGGAGATTTCTTAACAAGGTAAGAGATTAATGATCCAAGCCGGAATATGCTCCGTTGGGAAATATCCAATTGCATAAAGGCCACAAGGCTGATTTCCTTCGGAATTGCTTAATCCCGATGATTCTATTGACCCAATGATTAGTAAATTAGGTTAAGCATCTCAGTTTAAATTAAGATTAGCTAAAGTTCCTACGCAATATCTAAATAAGATAGCCATCTGTTGCTGTTAATTATGATGACAAATGTAGTAATACTTCTCCTCTGATCAGTGATCTAAAATAATAAATGACGTTTAATATTAATCTCTATGTCATTTCTTGCAAAATGAAATATTTAAACTTTCCTAAACTCGCATGCATATGGGAGCTACCACGTTAAGTACCAGCAAAGAAATGCTTAATAGGAGATTAATAAATTTAGACGATTAATCACTTGTAATTACTCAAACTTCGTTACTGATCTGATCTAATAGGAGATTAATAAATTTAGACGATGGATCTAAGCTTACAACAAGCCCGTAGCAATTTGTATATCCAGATGTAACAATTAGCGGTTAATATATTAGGAAGGAGAGAGGAGGCTGAGATGAGGGAAATGAGTAGAAAAAGACACTACTTGGGAGAGGTATGGCCTCAGGCTCTGTTCATCAACTTTTATATAACATTTAACATTTTAACTAGTTGGATGATGTATTGAGTACATCAGGCTCTGTTCTAATTGGTAAGGTAGGTCCAACGGACATTAGATGAGTTTCTAGAAACTCATTGGGTGTTGCGAATTATATATTTTTTTTTTTTTTTTTTTTTTATCGGGTGGGGTTTTTTTTATCGGTGGGGTTTTGGACTCGAATGAAGCTGAGTTTTTGGCCTTGTATGAAGCTCTTCACATTTTTGCTTCATCTTCTTTAAAGTCAAGCCCCTTGTTGATCGAATCAGATTCAAAAATTGCTTAAGGTTGGGTCTTACATAAGGACAAATTAAAGTCTTGGCATTTGTGGAAAAAAATTCAACAAACTTGATAAGCTTTTGTTATCCTGCTCCTAAGCCAGTTTTGTTCATGTCAAACGATTCAGGAATTAGTTCTAAGATTCATTAGCAAAAAAAAGGAGTGCATGCGACAAAATATTTTTTTGTTTAACTAATGAGCGTTGAGATGAATAGTTCGACACTCTTATTCTTTAAGTGAGGTCAAGGGTTCGATCCTCATGATGGAGTAAATACTCATTGGTCCACTTTACTTCTTAGTGGGTCGATCCAGTGCGTGCAAGATTTAGTTCTAGTACAGTGGGCTGAGATGCTAGTTAAGACCAAAAAATATTTTCTTACTTGGGTGTAATGTTATGAGTCTTAGTTCTTTATTCTTATTTCAAGAATGAATGATGTGTTGTTTGATGTTTTGGCTCAGTTTTCTTTAACTTATTTAAGAGTAGGTATGGATGTGTCGGATAAGCCTTTTAACTTAGATTAGTTTCCTAAATTTATTAAAGTCTTTCTTGGCTATCTTTATTCTATTAAACCAATGAATTTATTTGCTGCGATATATGATAAATATAATATTTCATCCATCTTAAAATTATAGTCTCAGTTCTTTTCACCTATTTTTAAAAATAGTAAATTAAATAGTTTAATTTTATTTTTTTCTTAGTTTTTCCATAATATACTAAAAATTGTATATTAATGATTCTTGAGACTTTCAAAATAAGATGAGTAGTTTATATCACAATTTCAGAATTAACTATTTTCAAACTTTTTTTCACTGTCTAGCACTTTAACTATATTTAATTGATCACACCCATAATTATATAAATTTTGTTGGAGAAAATTAAAAAAGAAATTTAGAATATAATTTAAACGGAAGGAGCAAGTATACTCCATTTATTTGATATCCTGATATGCAAGTAACATTTTTTTTTTTTTTTTTTCATCAACAAGACGATGAACATTTAAGAAAAATAGAATAATAAAATTTATAATCGATTAAGATGTCAAAATACAAAATATTCATAAAAATTTAATTGTAAATTTGCTAGGTTATATATGTATTTACTATTTGATTTTGACTCTCAAGGTTAAAACAATTCTAGCTAAAGAACAGTACGATTATAAATAATATATAAAATTTTGCTATGGTATTACGTTGTTTTTTTTGACATGGTTATGGTATTACGTTGTTACGTTATGTTATAAATAATTATATAATTTATTATTTTAAAGTCTTAATATTTTATTTCAATAATTCATTTATGAATTTCGCGAATATTTAAGAAAATAATCGTAAAATTTACAGAAAAAATGTCTCAAATCTTGTTCAAATGTCCTGAGAAGAATGAAAAGTTACTATTAAGATTGCATAAGCAAAACTTATTAGTTTAATTATATTAGTATTATTATCTTCGTTAAGTTTGCTTTGTGAGACTTACGTGTCAATTTAGGAACTAAACACCTTATTTAATTATGTGTTTGTGTCGAGGCCAAATTTAAAATTTGAAAGTTATAAAGAAATAATTAAATTTAACTCATGTTAAAACTATCTTATTAAAACTATCTTATATTAAAACTATCTTATTAAAATTTGTGTCGAGGCCATGTTAAAACTATCTTATATTAGGTATCTCTTACATTATAAAGAAATAATTATATTAGGTATTTATTTTCTTCTTGTTTCTAATTTTTTATTCAATAAAATTATATTTAAAAACTATATAAATTTGGATATTAATGTAAAAATATTAGACCAACGAGAATTGATCTAAGTGAAAAGAACTAGATCCTTAAATAAGCGTTGATATCCAAACATTGTAAAATAGAGAAATCCCAGTTTGATAACGTTTCCCCTATATCTGACACGGTGCGAACATGAATTAAATTTAACTCAAAATGTGATATAGAATAAAAAAAAATGTGAAACCATTATTCTTTTCATTTCATAGGCAGTAAGGTCGCAGAATATAATTGCACGTTTAGGAAAACACATCTCACGGTTAAGGAATGCAAATTTTTATTTGAATATTATTTCCAGCTCAAACTAGTAAATACATTGTAAATGTGTAAACAAAATTTAGCTTTGTATATTTATTTACAAAATATTTTAAGTTTTGAACAGAAACTAATGCACATATAATTAAATCTAAAATGATTAAAATACCAATTCAAATATAACCTCTTCTGCCTCTCTTCTTCGTCTCTCTCCTCTCTCTCTCTTCTCTCTCTCTTTCTCTCTTCTCTCTCCTCTTCTCTCTCTCTCTCTATATATATATATATATATATATATCTCCGGCACCGTGACTCCTGTGCAAATCCGAGCAACGGTAAATTTAAAAGTCTTAAGTGGTTGGGCGGTTCAATTTTTTTTTTTTTATTTCTTTAGCATATATACCAAAAAGAAAAACAAGTTCTGACTTTAAAAAATTAAGATGCCTCTAAAGGTGTGCATGGGACCATGGAAATTTGGTGTCGGTTCTTGAAAATAGTCCCAAATTTTAATTCTATATTAATTATTTTGAACGTTATTTTGGAACAAAGCCCGTACCAATAAATTTTAAAGGCATAATTAATAAAATAAATTTTCAATGTAAATTTTTCTTCTATAATCTTTCTAAATAAATTAATAAGATTAAGGAAAATCCTAATTGATTTCCAACCTAACCCATTCAGCTTTTTTTATCTCAATCTCCCTCCTATCCCATTTTAAAAAATGTGATAAGACTTATTTTTTATGTTGATATTTTCATTTGGATTGAAAATTATATAATTCTTATCCTGACTCAATCCATGCACACCCTTATGCCTCAAAATAATAAAAAATTATTAAAATATTTCTTTTCTTCCTGTTTTTAATTTTTACTTAATAAATTATATTAAAGATTCTCAATAATTTGACTTTTCTAATCATTTCGTGTTTCACATTCTTGAAGATATACAGCCTGTCATATTGCTATATGGAAGGTCTCATATACTAAATTAATTAAAAAAAAAATTTTCTGTGTATGGTCATGAATACTATTATTTAAATCAAATATTATTATTGATTACTTTTTTTGTACAGTTGAATCCATATATCAAATTTATGTAAGTCTCTTCCCATTATTTATATATTTTTCATCTTGAATTGCAATAATTAGGTTTTCAAAAATTTTTTTCTATAAAAATAAAATTATTGATGATTTGAATATTAATGTGAAAATTTTAGTTAGTTATTTATACTAAGAGGAGGTTAAATTAATCAAATTTAATTGGTGTTTTTAGATGCACTTTGCCTAAATTATAAGATTAAGTCCAGAGTCACAACTATTGGATTTACAGGTTTTATCAAAATATTATTTCGAGCTCAACATAGAGACACATGACTAAAAAAAATATTAATTATTTTTATATAGTGTTAATTATTTTTATATAGTGTATTCGTTTTTTAATTAACTTTATAAGATATTTAACTTGAACCGAATTCACGATATGAGATTGATATATAGATCAATATGTTATTGGTCCACGCTCCGATTCCATGGGCCAGAACCGGCACCTAGAGCCAGGTAAACTTAAGGCCGAGGCCGTAGAGCCTGAAACACTAAAAAATTTCTATCTCAATATAATTTTAAACATTTTAGGCCCATATTTTATAGGAAAATAAAACCTCAAGATTTTTTTTTATATCTCGGTCAAATACAATACATCACATTTTATCCATATGGCTCAACATAATTATAATTTGTTTTGTTAATACACGACTAATTGTAACAGTTCTACAAAACAACTGCGGAGTCACTAACCTATTTGTTATACATAGCCTTTTTTATACATTAGTTACAT